AAAAAAAAAAAAAAAAAAAAAAAAAAAACGATAAATTTCGATTCGAAATGTGAGGTGCGCGCGATTCGAGTCGAAAATACTTGAAAATATTAGTAATAATCGTTATCTTTTTCGGTCTAATTGTAGCGTTACAACGACCTACGCTGTTCAGTGTCGTTCCACACATTCGAATGCTACGATCTATATAAACGATACGATGCATAACATTATAATTTTATAGCGTTTACCGATAAGAGCGGTGACGATGACTATGACAAAGACGATGACAATGACTAGGACGGCGGGAACGAAAGCGCTTTCGATAACAAAATTGTGATCGTGGTCAGCAATAAACGTTTGCGCGGACAGAGAGCACGTCCAGCGAGTCGAGGATTACGCATAAGGCCCAACATGTTCTTATTATTTTCAAAGTGTGTTGTATCGAATCGGTAATTTTTAAATAAAAAGGGATATTTAAATCGGAAATATCGAAGAAGATTTATAACGAAACCAGCCGCGATAAAATGAAAATGAGAATACTTGACTTGCGTAAATTACGTATTATTTATTCTAGGAATATGAAATTATAACCTCGTTTCATCTTTCGCCAACAACGACGATCATAGCGACGAACGGTATAAAATAGAAGAAGAGGAATTAAGAGTTCGAACGTTTACAAAGAAATTTACGATATTTTTTTTTTTTTCGGTGTCAAAATACTCGCTAAGTCGAAAGGGAGGGATTCTTCCTCGATGGTGAGAGAGAAGTGTCGAGCGTGTAACGAATAAATTATTGTAAGCAGTGCGCGCGAGGAAAAGGAAGGAAGTAAAGGCGAGCATGGCCACGAGAACGCAACCGACACTCGGACCAGCTGGCAGAGAGAAGTCGGTGAACGTGCAGGAAAACTTCATCCTTGTGTATTTTCGGCGATAACGGGCGCGATATCTCGACTAATCTCGGTTAAAGGTTGGGACGACAGAACGGGCGGTCGCGTCCCCTCATTGGCGTAATCGAGAGGGAAACGAAGCGAGCAATGCGCGAGGAAGCCATTGCATTTGGCGCGCATTTCGAATTGGCGCATCCCTACTTTTAAAGGTTATGGAGATACTTAGACACGAGTGATATTTTTGCATTTGCAAAAGAATTGCATTATTCGCAAACGAATTGTTCGAATTTCGAGTTCCTCAATAAGCTTTGCTCTTACGACCGTGTCTCCTCACCTGAGTGTCCCAAGTCTTATCGAAGGAATCCCGCGTGTGTGCTCTGCAATGACGACACCCTCTTCTCTTGACTCGAGCTTCCCTCTTCTCCCGCTGTTTTCAACGATAACACGACGCATGCTCATTCCCTCTTTCTTTCTCTTTCCTATGTACGCACTATATATATATATATATATATACATATGTATATACTTGTTCACCGTAGCTTTAGATGTAAACCTATACCTTTCCGAGCAAGAAAAAAGGGGGGTAAAGAGTAATAAATTCCCAACTTCTTTCCTCTCTTTTTCCCGTTCATTTTTTCTCATCGTGAGAGACCATTTTAAAAAAGAAGAGAAGAGAAAAAGAAAAAAGAGCGACTCTCTAAAATGATTCCCTATTTGTATTCGTTTTCCAATGAAGGTGTGTAAAATGGGGGATCGTGCGAGACCAAGATGGCAGCGAAAGGGAGGCGAAAACGATCGATAAGTTGACAGGAGGATGAAGAGGCGATCAGGTTTGCCTGGCGTTCGTCTAATCGCGTATTCGGTCAATATTTAATGCGTTCGCGTTCGCGTCGCGCGTGCTTTCCCTCTCTCCCTTAAACTCGAATCGAAAAGCTTCGGTACGACGCTACCAGGCGGCAGCCGGCCCGAATCCCGTCGACACACCTTGGCAGCGCACCTGTGTCAAGCCGCGCGCCGCGCTCTCTCGCCACCTTCGCTCTCGAATCGTAACCGCGTCTGCGAGTCGATTGTCGACCGTCGACGCGACACAAATCGCATTCACGTTCCTCGATATCGCGGCCAAAAAAACTTGAATCCTACGGAAATCATCACGTTCGATGCGAAACGGTTCACCTCGTTCTCCTGCCACGGTAAGTATTTCTCGATCTTTTAATTTTCCCGCTTCGATTCGTTCACTTTTTTTTCTCGTTCTTTCTTCACACTCTTCTTTACCTCTCGTTGGAATTCTTTCTCTTTCTCTCTTCTCCTTTTAATCAATTTATTTTATCGTCTCTCAGAGAGAGTATTTAATAATTCTCGCAAATTTATCGGTGTGATGAAAATATGAAAATAAGATATCGAAATGAAAAGTCGCGAAAAAAAAAGTATAAATAACGGAATCGATTTATTTCATCATTTATCCATAAGAGTGGTGAGAAATTGGGGGGAAAAAGGAGACGAAGGGAGAACGTAAAGAGGAAGAGCGGAAGAATTGGAAACGAAGGACGGTGTGGTATGATGCATGGGGCGTTGTATCGCGACACGGAGGTGTCGAGACGAAACGAGTCGTGGCAAGACGAGGTAGGGCGCGACGCGTTGAGTCAAGGCAAGCCGATATTTGGAAAGACGTATGGTAGCTCGGTTGTTCGGTAGCGCGTGCACGGACGAACGAACGAACAAACGAAACAGAAACACTTGTGTTTTACGTTCGACAACACTTGTGGATGGACCATGAGCCGCGATCTTCTCTTTTCGTACCTCGATCAGTTTTATTCGTCTCGTGCAAACCTCGACCGTTTTTTCCCCCCAAGATTCGAGATATATACGATCGTTTCGACGAATTCAAATTATTTTTCGGTTCACTTTTTTCGTTTCGTCCAATATACACAGACACACATATATATATACAATATGTATATACATATAAGTGTCGCGTGCCACAACCATCTCGACGAAGTCTACCGCGAAACTATACGATATCCAGACGAGAGATACCCCTGTGCACAGATATTTTATTAATCGTTAAGCACATAGCTGTGGTAAGATAATGGAATAATATCGGGCAATGACGATAATGCTGTTTGTCGTGCGTGGCGTTAATTATTGGACTCGAGAGTCGCGTAATCGGTCGAGCAGATCGCGCTTCGTCGTTTTCCCTCGAAAACGTGCAACCCTTTCTCGACTCTCGGAGAGTCTCGCGCGTTAAATTTCGTCCAGATTCATTCGTTCAAAATATCATTTCGTATAAATACGAGTATTTTAAACACGAGTGGCTCGAAACGTAGTAGGTCGAACAATTACGAAAAATTACGTTCAACCTAATTCTCTCTAAGAAATCTTAGCTTTATTTTATGGAAAGATGATTGTTCCTACTACAGTACTACACGGAGAGGAGGTGGATTGTTTATTCGTGGAAAGCCACAGAATGTTCGCGCGTTATAAATTATTACGATAATTGCGTTGTAAAGAGGCGCGGATCGCGCGCAACAGAATCGGGCCGATGGATCGCGTTATCGTATCGTAAAGAGCTTTAAGGCGGTGCTCGCGATTCGAGAGGAGAGCGCGACGTTTAAATCCATAGTCAAACTCATTCTCTTCGCAGACAGGTAGAATCTTAACGAACAGCCTCGAAATGTCTTTCGATTCTAATTGCGAATTGAATCGAGGAGGATGGAAAATTACCAGTCCCGGATTCGGGGAAGAACGGGTTGCGTAACGAAGCGTGGATGACGGATACGCGTCATCCCTTGACGCGTGCGCATGCGCCAGCTTGCGAGCGAAGAAGAAGAAGAAGAAAAAAAAAATGTCATTTCTTACGGTGATCGCCGCCTGTCTTTTCGATATCGTGTTTAGCTTGACACGTACGCACCCATACCAGCTCATCTGGGATTTTCATTTACGATAAGAATTTCCTACTGATAAAGAAAATGGCCTCGCCGTGTTTCGCGATTCTGACGCAACCCTTTCGGTCATTCCACAAAAAAGAAAAAAAGAAAAAATCGAAGAGCAATCGAGGAAGGAGAGCACCTCTTCTTTCCCCCGATCGGATGAATCACTCCGTGATTTTTTTTCGTTTCACCTTAATCTCTCTTCGCGAAGGTTGTCGCTTCTCCAACACTTGGCAGCAAGTTTCACTCGATAGCTCTCGCTCGGTTCTGCGGTTTCGCAGGACACGCAGAAAATCCGCTCGATTGTCAACGGTATTCGGATTTCGAGAACGAATCGTCGCGAATCGATCGTTCGGCTCGAGTCGGCCCGAATCATTTTACTCGCGCTCGGAGGGATGGAGCGTCGCGCGGTCTTCGAGCGCGTCCCCGCGAATACTCGGCGGAACTAGAGAAACGGCCCTACGCCTTCCTGGCGAACCCGACGACTGAAATTATCATTTTAGCTGATATACTAGCTAATGTAAGGATGCAGTTTTATCTCTTATTATCATGGGAAACGAGATAAATCGCGATAGTGCCGTTTATTTTGACAACGGCGTACCTCTCGCCGATGGCTCGACGAAGACATCCCCATCGGTGGCCACGCGAGACATCCACGCGATCCGTGTCGATCCGCGTGTATTTTTTAGCCGATGCTCGTCCATCTCTTTCTTGCTCGCTCTTCCACGCATTTTCGTATCCTTGCTCGAAGATCTGTCTTTAGAAGCGCGAAAGAAAACTCCTGTTGCAACGCTCGACGCTTTTTCGGAGTGGACTCGATCGTGGACGTGGTTGCTCTTTGATCGATCGGTTTTCGAGAGAGTAGAGAACGTGACTTCGTCGATTTCTTATCGTTCGTTATCAACGATATACCGCGAAGCAATCTATATTTCCTTCGTTCTCTTGATAAACAATACGTTTTTTTCTCCGATACGATCCTAGATAGGTGACGAAGAAGATCGATGAATCGCTGTGCGCCTCTCCGCTCGCGCGCGGAAAATTTCGCATCGTCGAAAATAATATAATACTCGAGAGATCGGATAGAAATTTCCTAGCTTTCGATCGAAATTGAGGAAGAATTTAAATTTTGAAAAAAGAAAAATCGAAAAATTGTTCGCTTTTTAGCGATCGAAACGGTTGAAGAGGGATCATGCTTTTCGAATAGGTTTTTCGATCGAGCGAGGGAAAAAGAGAGAAATTGTTTTTCAGCCGTCTTATCGATCGCGATTGGTGAACGAAGAGCATATGGGACGAGCACATCGGTCACAGTTTTGATTTTTATCACGATTAATCCATATCAAAGACGATTCCCGTCACGTAGTACGTCGGATTGAACGAAGAGATGAAAGGTTTTGCAAAGATTCTTTCTCTTGCCCTGCCTTCCGATTCTTAAGCGGATGGAGCCCTCTTGGTTACTTTCTCGCGTTACCTTCACGATGACGCTTCGTTTGCGAAGATGAATCAGAGCGAGAATCGGTGACGTAATAACGGCCTCGTTCATTATCTACGATGGACGATGATCGATGAAAAACTTTCTTGACGAAAATTAGCTTCGAATGCTCGAATTAGTTCGTTCTTTATCGATCGTTTTTCAAACATTTTTTTCCCGAAATCTTTTTCTAGAGACAGACTCGTGTATATTTTCTATTTTTTCTTCATTTCTTAAATTGCGAAACGAACGGGAACTATAATGAATGGATTAGTCAGAAAATAACGATCTGTTAATGCAGACATAATGTAGAAAGTCGGCCGATAATTGCCACTAACGTGTACATGCAGTACGTTAAAAATCATTGTATAGATTTCTGCACAGATAATATTTTTCTTCGAAAAAGGAAGAAAGGGTGGGAGAAAGAGGCAAAGATAAAAAGTGGGTGTGATTTTCGCGATGACGATCGAGTCTCGCCAAAAATTCGAAGATTCGCTTCGAAGGATTGCAAGGCAGGAAAAACAGCCTATCGTAATCCGATCCGTTTCATCCTCAATGAAGAACGAATAAGGAGGGAGAAGAGAGGTAGAGAGAGAGAGAGAGAGAGAGAGAGAGAGAGAGAGAGAGAGAGAGAGAGCGAGAGAAGCGAAGATAAAAAGCGGGTGCGAATGATTCACACCGTTGCTACCCTACCAGCACCGAATATACACACCGAGCACGGAGCGTAAAGTACTCACGGAGAATCCGTGGCAACAAAATGGCGAAGATGGCCGACGAGAACGTAGACGAAGGGGCGAAAGGGGAGGCATGGACACCTCTCGCGATCCCCTCCCTCCCCCACCCCCGTGACAGCTTGTTATCTCGCTCGTGAGCTAGCAAGCGGCCGCTCGTTATCGACGAACAAACAAACGGACCCCTCCGTTTGCCTCTTTTCCACTCGATAGCTGGAGAGAGATTCTTTTCCCTTTCCTCTCTCTCTCTCTCTCTCTCTTTCTTTCTCTCTTTCTCGTTTTAGTTTTTCCGTCAAAAGAGGGAAAAACGTAGTAACTTTTGCTCTGCACGGTGGCGCCGCTTCGCTCGTGTATTCAGCTCCGCGCAGGAAATTCGTTTCGAGCGGACGCACAGTGAGTTTTCGACTATTTTTCTGGATTATAGATTATAGAGGAGGATTGTGCAGTGCGCGTTGAATAATCACAGGCTGGACAGCGTGTCAGCGATCGAACGTAATACGAACCGGATTTTTCACTCGCCACCCTTCGAAGGTAGGAAAAGATCGTTGAAATTCGGGGTTTTTTATTCAGATTGTTGTGTATTGACTGTGATTCCTAATCAGCTGACTGTTTATGTCAATATCTGGGTTTATTTAAGATCGAACAATTTTTTTTTAAAGTAATTTTTAAATCCAATTGATTACTTGTTATTTGGAACGATATTTAGATTCTATAAAATTACAGTTTTTATTATCAAAATTTAAAATCAGATAATATCGAAAATTTGATCAAGTACGAATGATATATCGTTTCTAAACGATCCAAATATTAACTGCGGTCTTAACTTTGATAATCGAATAAATCAGTGAATCCTATGAGGTTATTGGCATCCAACAATTTTCCGCATTTTTATCACATAAAAAAATCTTGTTCGTAGAAAATGATCTGAAAGAAACTGAACTCGCGATAAATGTTGTCAGGAGTAAAAAGATTGCTTGCCGTCGGTTTGAAAGGAAAGAGTGAGTGGAGTATGGTCGCGTGCTCGGTCCGGAAGTCGAAACTTGACATTGTCAAAGGGAAGTGTGACGCGAGTCACAGGTAAACACCGAGTTTGCCGGTTTTTTCTTCAGACGGACGAGGCGCGCCGTCCTCTCCTTTCCCCGCTTCTTCCTGTGTCGAACCATTCTCTTCCGTTCTTTTCTTCGACGTTCCTCGAGATTCCGACAGAAACAATTGTTACTTTGCACTCGCACTCCAACTCGAGTTATCTGGCCGAAACGCGATCGAGTCGCGTGCCATAAGGTCTCCACCTTCTCTGCGCTTCCATCCACGACAATCCTTTTTCGATTGTCGAAAGATCGTGTACTTCGTGTTACAGATCGCAATGAAGGAGACGTTGACGAAGCAAGAGATCAAACGCGAATGGGAGGAAAACAGCGTGGACGAAGGTTCGCCCAGGATGGCCATGGTTGGGACAAATCCAGATGAACAATCCGTCGAGAGTCCCCGGACGGTGATCACAGCGAGAAGGCACGTGCGCACCATCACCACGGCTGGTCATATAACCGAGACAGTGGTTGATCCGGAACCAGACTCACCCGATAATCTCCAATCGCAGCAGCAACAGCAGCATCATCGATCGATGGATGAACAAGGACAGCAAACTCGATCGCGCACTTTTCAAGAAGAACAACAGCAAGATCAAGCATGCAAACAAAATTCGCAGAGCTATGTGCAAATTTCTCACACCGAGGCGGAAATTCAACAACAGGATCGTTCTCGAGAGCAACGTATAGTTTATTTGACGAACAACGAACACGGAGTGCGAGTCATAGCAGATCCGTCTATATTGACGATGAAAGACACTGTTAAATTACTAAGGTAAGTGAAAATCGATAATCCGAAATATATTAAGTGACGAGGAAATAAATTGATATTATTTAAAAAATACAAAAAAATATATTTTATACGAGTATACGCAATTATTCACATCACAGTTTATGTTAATTCCTTTTTTTCTGGATCTTTATCGATAATGCAATAAGTACAAATGATACACTCAAAGGTATGAGACGTCAGAATCCGATGGGACAGATGCGGATCGCATGTACGCTTATCCGGCGGATAGCCAACAATTGCAAAGAGAGAACCATGGGATCGCTGTTCAAGCGCAGGAAAGGCGAGTTGTCCAATCGGCCAATCATCAAAGATATAGTCCACGAGAAACTAACCAATCCAGTGACGGAAATGGATCAACCGGTAGATCCTATCATCAAGGCTCACCAGTCCTAGTTCCAACTAGCGAGGAGTACGAGGGTGGCGCCCCCATAGTTTCTCATGCGACAACCGTTACCGTACGACTCGATTCTCCTACAGCGCCCTCTTATTCTCCGCCAATGAATGACATCGGTATTCGAGCGAGTGCTGGACTTCAACAATCAACTGCTCAGCATCATCATCAACTTGTCGCAGGATATGTGAACGCTGGAGGAGTAAATATCAAATACGAAACACCGGAAACGTCAAACACTGCAGTAGTAGCTGCTACTGCTGCGATTCCAGTCGACAACATCAAAATATCGAACACGTACACTACTCTCGAAACGGTACCGATTCCTCCCACGCAGGCTGTTCAATATCCTCAGTATATATCCGGTAGTGAGACGTTTCAACAAGCTCCAACTTATACTTATACAAAACCAGGGGAACAAGTGATTCTGACGTATCCGTCACCAGTTCAGTTGCCCTCGCGCGTTCCTGGGGTAAGTAGCTATGTTATTTATAGTCAGTGTTTAAATAACGAAAAATGAAAAATAAAATGAATTATTGTTTTTTAATTAAACACAAAAAATAAATATTTTATTTATGAATTTTTTCTATGTATAGAATTTAGAACTATAATTTTTCTTTGTATATAATACGTATATAATACGCCATTGTTACGTTATAGCGCATGCGTTTTGTTCATAGGTAGAATCAGGGAGCACATATATGAAAGGTGACCCAACCTTAGCATCTTCGTTGGGAAGTACGCGTGGAGTAGCATCTCTGCATTACGAACAACCAGGATCTCCAGGATCTCAAATGACATACGGAAGCGGGACTAGTACGTATCCATATGCCAAAGCGACTCCTTCAGCCGATTATTGGTCGACCGCAGGAACTCCGTCTCCACCTACATTCGATTGCGTCCAGGGATACCAAACGGCAATTTCGGTTGGCGATACTAATATACTCTATTCTGGCGGTGTATACAGTGTGTCAACTGGAAACACTACGTCTTCATGGTCTAACAATCTATCGCTATCCAATACCGAAGAAAATTTCGAAGGACCGATAATGACTGTGG